TTTATTCTGGAAAGAAATTTGGGTGCATCCAAAATTTTCGTTATGTAAAATTTGTATTCATATTTGCATTCTGTATTTCTGTCATTTGGAAATTCAGATGCATCCAAAATTTTCGTTATTGGAAATTCTTATTCGTTTTTGCATTCAATATTTCTGTCATTCGGAAATTCGGATACATTCGAATGTACGAATTTTCGAAAATTCGTCCAAATAACAAATCTTTCCAAAACGAATCGCCCATGTCTACTGGGTAGAAGCTGCTGTCTGGACAATGTACAAAGGATTCATTACCCATAGATCCAGGTATCATACAGAGAAAACAGAAGCCAGTTGGTGCTCTACAAGGACTGTGACTACTCTTACAGGGTCATAGATTTACCGGTCTGCCCTCTGCCTATCAGTATTTTTGGAGGTTGCTCTTATAGGACCTGATGCTGCTACTTCTGTATTAGAAGATTCTGTCCTCTATTTTTGTGCTTTCAATATCTTGCATCCCTAAACCCTCTCTCCTGGGTTTTTTTGGTATTGAGCAATAAAACATAAAAAGACCCGAGACTTGAGCTTGATCATTACAAGAAGTTGTCGGTGTTGCTGGATCTGGAGACAAGTCAGTTAACCACAAAACAGGTAGGAGAACCCAAAATGACCAGCGGCTCCTGTGACGGTCATCCTTACGGAATGAAGTTGCAGTAACACATGATTAACCATCAACTATGCTCTTTCCTCTTGTCAGCATGTTTATAAGGAGCACATGTGCATGGCAGCAGAACCTGACTAGCTCCCAATGCTGCCCAGCATCTCCCAGTCTGAGTGCTACTGTACAGAAGAGAAGGCTGATATCGGGTACAGATTAAGATACATACGCAAGCTACTGTATATGTTAACATAAAATTAATTTTCTTTTTTTCGGAATACAGAAAACGCATTAAATATGTGTTTGATTTACTTTTTTATACACTAAACTATTTAGTCTGTAACACTGATCATTTATGAGTCAGGATAACAGCAACCTAACCGAAATTAATACGTTTAAGATAACTTCTGATTTCTGCACTTTCAACTTCATCATGCTCTATGTACTGCTTCATTAACAAAGCCTTAAAATGGTTCTGTCCCTTTCCAAACAAAATCCAAAATGCAAGAGAGAAAAGCTCGATTCACAAAGCTTTAACACAAGAATAACGATCTTAAAGGAGAACTATGAGATGAGTGATTTCAACTCACCTTATAGTTCTAGCCGACCTGTGACAATGAGACTGTCACAGGTCGGCTCAGTAGATCGGAAGGAACACATACCGGGTTCGCTCATCTCTTGATCCTGTCACGGCTCTCTGCCGTGACAGGGGGAGGGGCTGGATTCCCCACTCCCCGCTCCGATCTGTCAGCGCTGACTGGCGGAACGGACAGGGGAGGGGGCGGGTACAGCTGGCTCTGCCTCTAGATAGGCAGAGCCAGCTGTTACTCACGCAGCTGGGCGGATCTCGACGTCCATGTGGGGATCCGCTCCGGCTGCGGCGTCTCAGTATACCGCGAGCTGTAGCTCGCGGTATACTGAGCTTAGGGTAACGGGAGGACGCTAGTTTGTGTCCTCCCGTTACCCTAAGGACAACTATGGGGAAAAACACTGACCCCATAGTTCTCCTTTAATTTTTAGCCTTGTGACTGGAATTTACACATCAATTGGACTTGTCTCTCTTTTGAATATAAGGATCCTTTACCTGGCATATTTGCTTTGTAGATTGAGCCTAAAGCTGGCCATACACTAGTAGATTTTCTAAAGAACTTTCGTACGATGTCGGTGTTCTGCCGAAAGAGGAGTGAGGGAAGGAAGGGGCGAGCCAACCCGGACTACATGCACGGGCTACGAGCGCCCGGAGCGACTGAGAAGCTGGTGGTTTTTCAGCATTGCTGATTTTCATTATAATATATTGCTGGGACTTGTAGTCCTGCATAGCTGGTGGTATTCTGCATTGCTGTATAATGATTATACAGCAATGCAGAATAGCACCAACTACTTAGACATGTGCACCGGTAAAAAATTAATTTAGTTTCGTTTCGATTCATATTTTGCATTGTTTAGTTTTTCAGGATTTGGGTCCGAAATTCAATTAGTTTCGGGATTCGGATGAAATTCGTTAGTGGTAGTCTGTACGACATTTAGTTTGTTGGACGAAATTTAGTTGCAGCAAAGTTACATTAGAATTTTTTTTTTTTTTTTACAGTCTGCAGAAGAGGAAAAAAAAAAAAGCGTCAGGTTCCCCCCCAATTCATGCGGGTAAGGGGGCTTATTTGCATTGGGGTACCCCTTTAATTAAGGGGGCACCCAGATGCCGCCCCCCTTGTGAATGAGTAAGGGGTACTTATTTGGTAAAGCTGTGACTGAGAATTGTTTAGCAAGTTAAGCCCCTAAACACTAAAATGCCCATTTGCAATAAACTGCAATCAAGATATGAATTGGGTAATACAACGAACTGTATGGGTTCAATCTGCAATAGCAATACGTTTTGGATGCAGCTCCTGATTAAAAGCGTTTCCAGGGCTGGATTGTTTTATGCAGTCAGCACATACATTTCTGTACCAGCGAGATCAAATCAGTTTATGTAACATACTAAAACACTGGAATAATAAATTCAATTACAACGCAGAGGTGAGGGAATTTTTTTTTTTCCTCACCCAAACGTTAATTAAAGTACTTACCTTAAATTATGTATTTTAATCCGATCATCTTCTTCTTTCCTGTAGTTTTCAGCCTTCTATCCAGCTCTGCGGCAAATCTCCGACTCCTCTGAGCTTGCTGGCACGTACTCTCCCACGGTCTCTGCATGCGGGTGCACGCGCCCATAGACTTACCTTGTGTCTTTCCTCGCGTCCAAGCCGAAAATGTGAACTGCGCATGCGCCCGCCCCAAGATGCTTTGCGGCCGCCTGTGCAGTTTTCGGATGGGAGCGCGCAGGGAACACACAGGTAAGTTTAAACCGATGTTAAAGCGTTTTTTTTTTTACTTTTTGCATAGATCTACTGCTTGCTAGCAGTAGATCTATGCAAAAAAAGCTGAGGGTTTAGAAACCCATAAATGACGGATGGCATATTATTAACGGTCACAATGAACGATTTAAACAAAATACTTCATCAGTAAATCCGTTTCCTCGATAATACTGGTCTATGCGCAAGCGCAGATGCTGAGGTTGGCAAATTCGACTAGGTCAGCGTTCTCGACAGAACACCGGTATCTGCGCTTAGTATCGGCGGATTTTCACAAGTACGAGTACTCGTGAAAATGCCCAGTATTGGCACTGGTGCATCCCTACTTAATAATATAATGTATTGCTGGGACTTGTAGTCCTACATAATTGGTAGACATGTGCGATTCGTTTAGTTCCTAATAGAAATTGGGACGCAATTTCGGATATTCCGATGTATCAGAAATAACTAATACAAACGAATCTGAATTTCCGATTCCGAAATTCATTAGCGGTAGTCTGGACGAATTTTTTTTTCTTTTACAGTCTGCAGAAGAGGGAAAAGTGTGAGGTTCCCCCCCAAAAGTGTGAGGTTCCCCCCCAATTCATATCAGACCCTTTAGGTCTGGTAGGAATGTTAGGAGGGACCCCCCAAGTTAAAAACAAGAAAAAAAAAGTGCCTGGGGTTCCCCCCAAAATCCCTACCAGGCCCTTAAGGTCTAACATTCCTACCAGACCCTTGATCCGAGCACAGGCCCGGCAAGCAGGAAAGGGGGGTGATGATTGAGCGCCCCCCCTCCCTGCGCCTTACCAGGCCACGTGCCCTCATCATTGGGAGGGTGTCCCCATGCCGATGGGGACAAGGGCCTCTTCCCCACAACCCTGACCCGGTGCTTGTGGGGGTCTGCGGGCAAGGGGGCTTATTTGCATCAAGGTACTTCTTTAATTAAGGGGGCACCCAGATTCTGCCTCCCCTTGTGAATGAGTAAGGGGTACTTGTTACATAGTTACAAAATTAGTCAGGTTTTGGTGGAAGAGGGTTATTTACATGTATCTTTTTTTAGCGATTGTAACCCCATTGATGGGGCCTCACGGCAATCGCTGTATGCAATTGTGCACAATCGGGCGGTCCCGGGATCGCCCATATCTGAACCTAGCCTCAGTTTTTGTGATATACTCATACACACTGCACATTATTGTGAGTTTTATTGCTGTGAAGCTCTGTGATATACTCATACACACTGCACTTTACTGTGAGTTTTATTGCCTTTTAGGGCCCAAGAAAATGTTTGGCCCAGGGTCCAATCAGTATTAAAGATGGGCCTGGCCCAGGGGAAGGGTCAGATGCCTAGGGTGTGTGGGTGCTATGCCCTGGAGAATGGTCAGATACCTAGGGAGGGAATATTGTGCCTAAAAGAAGGCTCAAATGCCCAGGGAAGTGGTACACTCCCCAGGAAAGGGTTAGATGCCCAGAGAGGGGGTATTGTGCCCAGGAGAAGGGTGAGGGGAAGGCACCCGGGGGAAGGGAGGGTACACAGAAAACAGATTTGAGAGGGGGTGTCTGGGTATGGGGGAAGGGACTGAAGACAGATTTATATCCAGGAGAATGGGACACCTGGAGAAGGGCCTTTGCTAAAGAGAGGGGTGGCAATACCTGTAAGGGGAGGAGCTTTTATTGTATATCATGTAGTGATCTGAAAATCTGCCCCTGGTTAGACCCTCCACATGTGCCTGAGACTCTCCACATCAGGGGCCTAGCCTCCTGTGGGGTGGCCTGCTGCACCTACCCGCTGGACCACAGTCTGATGGGGATGTGTGATGGCCAATCCCAGAGATGTCATCGTGTATGTGTCATTCTAACTGCCCAGTCTGCCGTGCATTGGTTCTGGTCTGATATCAACTGAACCGAAGGGCTGCGGTGGCCGAAGCGAGCCGAAGGATCAGCCGAAGCTACGGCTAGATCCTTCAGCAGGTAAGTGAATAACACCCTATGTATTGATTTAGTAATTAACTATTTTAATGAATTTCAGGTTTTCTCACCTTTTTGAGTTCTTCCTGCAATTTTTTCAGTTTAATTTCCAGCTCTGTGACTTTGTCATTGAGATTTCTATGAAAATAAAATAAAAACAATTACTGCAGAACATTTGTAAAGCGAAACTCCAAGCAAACAGCTAAAGTTAAAATAAATAAAAAACACAGTTAAAATAAATAAAATAAAAAAACTGGTTTACCTACCAAAGCATCTATAATTTTATTCAGCCAGTCAAGTAATCTGCCAGAAAACCCAACCAGGTCTTTTCTCTGCTGCAGTTAAAGCCTACTGTATCTCCTTGTAAAAAAAAAAAAAACTCTCCTTGCAGAGGAGTTACTGCAAGGGAAAACTGCTCTTTAATGTCTATGGGACATCTGTAAAGCACTTTTATTTACCTGATGCCTGCTCCCACTGGTTTCCAGACCTGTGCAAGCAGCCTCTTTCTCCCTTCTCTTCGGCAGTCAGAGGCCCGCTGACGTCATCATGCACCATGCTGGGCCCATATCCCTGCAATATAGGTGAGGACACCAAGGGACAGTCCCAGAGCAGTAGCGTAGGGGACAAAGGTTAGCACTGATTGCTGGGGGAGTGGGATCAGGTCAGGGGATCAAGTAAAAGTCCTCTTTACAATATTCCTAGACATAAACGAGCAGTTAACCCCCCACCCAAAAAGTCTGCCTGCTGCTATACAGGGAAAAACAGGAAACCTTATCAACTTTTGTACTAGTTTTGTTTAAAAATACATGTAATATTGTATTGCATGCCTAGTTGGACTACTTTTTGTTTTTTAATATATTTACCTGGAGTTCAGCTTTATAGTAAATCTGTCATGAGAAATTTCCACTTCCTACCTGCTTCTGAAAATTATAGTTGCCTGGCTGTTATACTGACTGGCTTCAATAGTCACAGACATTGGGCAAATGAACAATTGCAAGGATAAATCACTGTAGTGTTATACACCTTAACCTCTCTAGCAGATCTAGCAAGTGTTGAACATTCCAATTTAGCTTCTTTTGTTCTTTGGTTCTGCTAAAATGCACTAAGCCATGCCTGTGTTATTATTTTACCTGAAAAAAATAATGTGACTGGCTTGCTAAGCAAAAAAATGTATACTCGATAAAGAAGTAGGCCGAAAGAACTGTACTCCATGCAAATGGAGGCAAATAACGCAGCATAGGTATGGATATTTATTGTTGGCATCTCAGTTCCCATCACCAGTGTAGGGAATCTCATACGCTGGCTCGAGTGTGAACTTCTGTGCATAGGCACAAAGACACGCACATTCGCAGTCAAATACCTCCCTGCGTACTAAGGATTTATAAAATCTCCTTTAATCACAGCAGTGCACATTTTTATGTGAATTTTCTTCCTACATGTTATGGACATTTCAAAAGGTTAACAGCAGTTAGGTAGACCAAAGACATTAGAGAAGGGTTTATTTTGGGCATGCACATGTTAGCTGTTGTACATGTGGATAGTGGATTGTACATGCTATAGATATACCCTATTTGTCAGTAAATTCTTTATATATATGATGTAGCCTGTGCATGCATGTCCACGTGCACGTGTCTGCGCATAGCACGGGTGCATAGTAAATACAGTGAGGATACACTTTGGTTGTCCATGTTTTATTGATGTCAGTAAACATACATATCCTTTGGCTCAAACCAGCATGCGATCAGGAAAGTCAGAGAAGGTTGTGAGTTAAAAGTCTTTATTTGCATACACGTTATGGGTTAGTGACTCAAGTTATGAATCAATATAGTTGTAATGACAGCCAATAAACCAGCATTTTTACAAAAAGAGGTCAACAATTACAGCCTCAGTTTTTCTCTCAGGAAGGTATACTTTAAACATGTCAAACATGTCCTCCTGCCACATGCAGCCATTTGCTCTTACCCAGATGCGGTTGCCACAGAGCTGGGAGGTCCAAGATCATTTTTGATCGCTTGAACCTGTTCTGTAAAAACACAAATCAGATACAACAATATCAAACTAAATATCTTTCTGGCATTTTTCTACTAATACAGGGTATAAAATATGTTTCCAATAATATAGCTGTTTGCATTTACTTTATAGTTAAACCTGATCTAATAACATTTGTTTAAAACTCTAGTATTAACAAGGTGTAATAAAAAATAAATTTGAATGTTGTCCACGTATAATGCTTTTTTTCAGTAAATCTTATAAATATTAATGTGACAGTGCTTATCTTTCAGGGATCTGATTTTAATAATCAGAAGTCTCTCAGTTTTAAAAACTGTATTTTGTACTTTATTACTCTTTGTACAAACAAATTTTTAGACTCTGAATATACCCACTAGTAAAGTCAAGTTGTTGTATGCTACAGACAATTCTAACACAATAATGAGACAATCTGATTGTAATTGTTCCCTACTGGTATAACAGTATCAAGCCAACTGTATGTCACATTTTATGGGTACTGACATGCACTGTCCGGTCAATGTTCACACCAGATGAAAATATTCTGATCAACTGTGCTCCTTTAACTGTTTAAAAAAAAAAATCTGGATGTATTCCTAAATGGACAGAATATTATTGGATATTGAGTTCTTATAGGTATATTAAGCATCAGAGATTGTTGATCCAGGGAATATCCGATTGCCTTGTGGGATCAGGAAGGAATTTTTTTCCCCTGTTGCAGCAAATTGAAACATGCTTTATAGCGTTTTTGTCTGCCTTCCTCTGGATCAATAGGGGGTAACTGTGGGCAAAGCGTTCTGTTTTAGGTTTTTCTTCTTTTTTTTTCTTATCTCTATAGGTGGAACTCGATGGACTTGTGTCTTTCTTTAACCTGACCAACTATGTAACTATGTACTTTTAGTGGCCTAGCATGCAAAATCCTTAGGGGTATTTTATCAGTATTTAAAAAAAAAAGTGCACTTTAGTACAAAGTACACTCATCCTTTTTCCCCTTTGCCCTAACCTAAACCATCCTCCTCCTCCACAGATGCATACTTACCTTAATCTGACAGCCGCGGCCTCCATTGTTCGTTTACATCCAGCACCGCAAGTCTCACTCTTCATAGAAGTCTATGGAGCTGTGTCCCGAGGCTAAAGAAGAAGGGAGACGGCCCTATAGAAGTCTATGGGGCTGTAATGCACAGGTGTGGCTAGGAGAGTAAGACTTGTGACACTGGATGTAAACAAACAAGGGAGGTCGCAGCAGTCGGATTGAGATGTACAGTATCTGTGCAGGGGGGAGGTAAATTAAGTTAGGTCAGAGCAAAAAGGGCAGGTTTACTTTGTCTTTAAAGTGCACTTATCTTTTAATGCTAAACATAAAAATGTCCACTGAGCTATAGAAATACATAAACAAACCTATTTTTTAAAGGTGAACTCCAGGCAAAAAGTTAGAACACAAATGAAATACTTATTTGGGGGCTGTTTTACCTGCCAAAAGATTTGTACTATTTTCCCAGCCTTGCTAGACTACTGATGAACTGACATTTCTCTACTGCAGAGATGCAATACGGTTAGGTAACGCAGCAGTGATCCCTCTGCTCTTTTCTCCTCATGTTTACATGTTCCTTGTCAACACAAGTGCCCTGCAGTACACCAGATTAGCTTAGTGCGCTGTCCTTCCCACTTATGTTTGAGCTCTGCTGTACAGAGGATTACAAAAGGCTGATACTAAAGCTAGGCATACTGTTGTATTTTTTCATTCAACTCGCAGCCGATTTGGCTTTAGTCATTGTTCGCCCAAAAATGTTCCATCCGGCTTTCTCGATTTTCTGATTGAAGGATACTGGAAGGAAGGGTGCGAAAGGGCCATCCACTGAACGAATTTCAGACAATTCATCAACAACCAATCCGGAATTCATACAGTAAAGCCATCTTTAGTCAAATTCAGCTGTTTACATGATCTTATTTTAAAACATTTTTTATGTTTTAGTGAATACATAATTGCATTAATTGGTGTAAAAAGTAAATATGCATGTTAAAAAGAGAATGTTCACTTAACGTAATGTTTTTTTGCATCATCCAGTCGTGTGTATGCAAAAATCCTGATTAGAGCTTCAGCCTGTTACTAAGCTAAACATTCAAAATACTAACGGGGTTATTCACAGAGCTGCTGAAGACAGCTGAGTGAATAACCGAGCTAAAGGGAAGTGAGCTGAATGCCGTTCGGCTATTAAGTCAGCCCTGTACGGCTGATTTCAGCCGTACATCGGCTAAAATCAGCTGTACATCAGCTGACTTCGGCTGCCTTCGGTTAGCCGAACATGCAGAGCACTGAGCCGAAGTGCAGAAACAGTTTGACTCAGCCGATCCAACATCTGGATCGGTGGAGCCTGCACACCACATGTAATGGTATGTAATATGATTACATGCGGTTAGAAAACACTCTCCCTGGATGCACAATCAAGTGATTGATTCCTAACCAAATGTAATCATATCACATACCATTACATGTGGTGTGCAGGCGTTTACATGCAACTGCTGTCACCTGATCATTAACTTGAATGGGTGACAGCTGCCGCATGTAAATGCCAGATTAGTGATTCCTGCTGCCGGAAAACGCAAGTTTCTGACATAGGAATCCCTAATCGCAATTAAAGAAACTAGTTTGAATGGAGCCTATTATACTTCTACTGCCCCCCCATACACATAAAAAAAATACTACCCATGCACATGTAAAATAATCAAATAATCAAAAAATACTACCCCTGAACATATAAAATAATACACCCCTCCCCCCATACTCATAATGTGGCCGTTAAAATCCATGTCGCGCAGTCCGTGTGTTTATTGGGGTTTTTAACGGAGGGACAGAAAATTGACGAATCCATCAGTCAAGCAACCACTGAACCTGAGAAGAAATTTAGACAAAAGAAACAGAAGGGCGCCCACCTAGTGCAGATAATCCTTTTAATTTAGTACGCAGTAAGCTGACCCCAGAACAGGCACTTACACAGAATGGCACAGTACAATGCAATAAACCCCGCTGCAAACTTTGCCAACATACATGTGACAGAAATACAGCGAGTCACAATAAAAAAATGTACGCCATTAAGGGGTCATACTCATGCATATCTGCTAACATGGTGTATATGATAGTGTTCAGCATGTGACAAAGGCTGTTACATTGGGGAAACTGGCCTTAAGCTGCAGCTCAGGATGAACCTACACAGGAGCTCGATCAAGAACCACAAAGAGGATGAGGGAAACATTTGAGATGAAAATGATTTTACTGTACATTTCAACACCATAAAGGAGGGACTTAATGTGGATTCTGGTTTTCTGACACACTACCAGAACTTTTTATGAATCTACAGGACATTGCTTACCTTTTTTGCAGGGAGTAGTCTGTAAGGAGGCACGATCGATCTCTGGTGACCTAGTGGTTGATTGGTAAGGTCTGCTGCAGACCAATCAATCCTTTCGGCCAGCGTTCACTGAAAGATATCAGAGCGCTGGTCGAAAGCATCCGAGTGCCGCGTACCTGACTTGTGAGCTGGCTGCGGGCCACATAGTACCGGCTCGCAGGTCACAACTAGCCCACGGGCCGGTACTTTGAGACCACTGGCCTAAATGTTTTGGGGGCTGCAAAAATGCTAGAATCTGCCGCCCGAGGCAAACACCTTGTTTGCCTAGCGGCAGATACGCCCCTGTATACCATATTGAGGAAAGTTCCTTTGCTATCTCTTATAACAGATATAATAATAGAAAGAGAATATATAAGAGAAAATAATAGATATATATGCCAATATGCCAAGTTTAGGGTGCTCTAAAGTAACGACAAAAGCCTAAGTGAACAAGTGGACAGAAAGTCTTTCCAACTCGGCACAAGCAATCGGCAAAATACAGCAGTTTTGATGGATTATTTTCACATCTGTGAAAATATGCAAAGAGCAGCTTTGCAAATAGTTATATCTATCAAAATTGATATTCGCCATGAAAAAAAGCAAACCATTGATTTTAACCTTTCATAAATAGGCTTTCACGATTGCAATTAAAATAGCCTTTTATGCCGCTTAGATGTCTACAGCTACATGAGAAATTGATATTAAAATTCTGGGGTAGACTAGAGAGCTGAACCTTCCTCACACTTCTTATATCTTTTCACATTATGTTCCAACTACTTCTCTCAGTCTCCCCTAGATAAACATTTTGGCAACATCTGAGAGAGGCTTAGAAATTGCTCCTCAGTTAATCAGAATTCTCTATGTTAAAAAAAATACTGCAATCTCAACTTCACCATCATTTCTGACAAATGTTACCTTCTTTAGACATGGCTTCCAAAATACTGTTGCAGGCCAGAGTAAGATCAGAGATGCTCTTCCATTCATCTTCAAGAGATTGGGGAGCTGGTGAAAATGCTGAAATAAGAAAATAAAGTCAGGACAGAAGATTCTGTAATGCCAGTTTAACCCTTACAATGCCAAGGTCTTTTTTTTAACACGTATAATGCACATTTTAGGCCTGAAAATACTTAAAAAATTGTATATCTTACTGCACTCCTTACCGGATGTCCTAGGAGATTATGTCAGTATCTGGGTGCTTGCAGCGACCACGGAGGCACCGTGAAACCATATAGAAACTACAAAATGTCACCAGCACTCCAATAAGTAGATTCAACAAATGTCCATTTTAATGGCAACGGTCATCAGGCTCAGAATGCCTGAGCCTGATGACGGGGACCCTGCGTGGCCCCGAAAATACTTGCGATTTGAATGACCGTTGTCATTAAAAGGGACATTTGTTGAATCTACTTATTGGAGTGCTGGTGACATTTTTTTGGTTCCTGAAAATACTTCAAACCCCCAAACATTATGGGGGTTATTCACAAAGCTGCCGAAGGCAGCCGAGTGAATAACCCAGCTGAAGTTAAGTGGGGCGAACAACGTTCGGCTAATCCCTACGGCTCAGTATGGCTGATTTCAGGGGTACATCAGCTGCCTTCGGTCAGCCAAACATGCTCTGCATGTTCGGCTGAGCCGAACACTGAGTCGAAGTGCAGAAGGACTTCGACTCAGCCGATCCAACATCTGGATTGGCTGAGCCGAAGCTCTGGCAGCTCACTCGCTGCCGTTCGCCCCTACTCACATAGGGACCGAACGGTTCGGCTCGGCTATTCTGCTCGGTACCCCCGTGGTACCGGGCAGAATAGCAAATCAGTGAAAATAGTTTTTTTTTTAAAAAGGGTAATTACAAAAAAATGTAGATATATAGTTAAATAAAAAATAAATAAAGATTTTTTTTAGAAAAGAAAAAAGAGAATTCTTTTTTTGTTTTAAATGGGCGGAGCTAGCTGTTGGCTATTCATTGCAGCCTTGTACGGCTGATTTCAGCCATACATCGGCTAAAATCAGCCATACATCGTCTGCCTTCAGTCAGCCGAACATGCTCTGCATGTTTGGCTGAGCCGCCGTGCAGAAGGATCGGCTGAGCCGAAGCTCTGGCAGCTTACTTGTTGCCGTTTGCCCCTATTCTCATAGGGGCCGAACGGCAGTGAGTGAATAGCCAAATGCCTCCGAGGCAGCGAGCAGAATAGCAGAAATAAAATAGAAGAAAACGTAAATAAATGAAAAAAAATTTACAAATATTTAAAATGTTAAAAAAAGTTAAGAATTTTAAAAAAAATTTAAGATAAGAAAAACAAAACAAAACCCAGCATGGGATCCCCCTCCCAAACCATACCAGACCCTTTAGGTCTGGTAGGAATTCTAGGAGGGACCCCAAGTTAAACCCCCCAAAAAAAGTCATACCAGGCCCAAAAATGGGGGAAAAGACATGGGGTCCCCCCTAAAATTCCCAACCAGACCCTTGATCCGAGCTCAGGCCTGATAGGCCTCAATGATGACTTGGCGAAATAACAAAATAAAAACAATAAATAAATAAAAAAGAATTTAAAAAAGAAGCACGCTGCTCCAAGCTTGCTCCTGTGATAGACTATAGCTTTAATACAAATTAGTAAACTAAACAAGAGATTGTAGTTAATCACAGGAGTGAGCGTGGAGCGGTGGCTACTTTACAACACACACAAGGACCATGTGGGACAAAAGTAGCCACCCTTTAGGGTTCATTCACAACAGTGAATTGCAGGACACAAGGAAAACCAAGTGGTTTTACACAGGTTACCACAACACGCAGTATTGTATCAAAAGAGGCGCAATATGTTGCACTGTCATTCATTTTGAATGGCACCCAAATGCACCTACAGAATGCACCACAACACACTTGCGCTTTAGTGCACCACCAAGCACAAATGTGAACAATCTTGACACACCCAGTGGTGATGAGTGAATTATTTTAAAAAATCACCAAAAATCCTGAACATGTGTGTAAACTCTGTCTAGTCCACAAAGGATCAAAACTGCACAGATTCTTAAAATTGTGTTATAATCTGCCGATCAGATAAACCTACACCCAGATATTAATGAGAATAAAAAGTGATTAATTGGCAATCCTTATGATTCAAACATCCCTTCTTATTGAAGAGTCTTAACATTGTACAGCGGGCCACAGACCTTACAACCATCGCAAGACTTTTGTCTTGCGATGGTTGTAAGGTAATTAAAAAAACGTACGATCTGCCCATCTCATCGGAAAACTTTCTGATTCCCAGAATGCTATACAGAGCTCTGTCCCCTTCTTCAAAATGATTGGCGGTAATGGCACAGCACCAAAATGTAGACTATTTGTGTATCATTCGGCTCTAGATCCTCAAATCATCTCTGAATGTGTGCCGACACCTTCCTTCTGAAGGGTGGCTACTTTTGTTCTTCATAGTCCCTGTGTGTGTTGTAAAGTAGCCACAGCTCCAAGCTCACTCCCATGATGGATTATAAACTCACGTTTAGTTTACTAATTTGTATTTACGTTATAATCTATCACAGGAGCAAGCTTGGAGAGGTGGCTACTTTACAACACACACAGGGACCATGGGGAACAAAAGTAACCATCCTGCAAAAGGAAGGGCATTGCCAGCACCAATTCAGAGATGATTTGAAGACCTACAGCTGAGTAATGCACAAATATGCTACATTTTTGTAGGTACTTGAATGCATTTTTAAGATTTAACTCCTGAATTTAGTGTCACTTTAAGCTTTGTCTATGTATTCCTTTTCTTAAAGTAGATGTACACCCTAACTTGAGGACATTTAATTTTTTAAATGACTGTGTAGCATCAACTACCATGTTTTTTATTTCAATAGTTAAACGCTTAAAGACCAGGAGGGGAATTTATCAAAACTGGAGCAGACAAAATCTGGAGCAGTTGCCCATGGCAACCAATCAGCTTTTCTCTTCAGTTTGTACAGTTAAGATTTGAAAATGAAAGAGAGAAGCTGATTGGTTGCAGTGTACAGCTGCTCCAGATTTTGTCTGCTCCAGTTTTGATAAATCCCCCTCCAGGTGGCCAGGCCATTTTTCAGTATTTAGTGCTGCGGTATTTTGACTGACATTTATTCCGTCATGCAACGCTGTACTGAAATGAATTTTACACCATTTTTGGGGACAGATAGAGCTTTCTTTTGGTGGTATTTATTCACCACTGGGATTTTTATTTATTTCTATATTTCAGAAAATTTACTGAACATTTTGAGAAAAAAAGTTTATTTTACATCATGTTAGGAAACAATCATTATTACCCTATTTTTTGGTAAAATATAAAAGACAGGGTCATGTCGGGTAAATAGACACCAAACATGTCATGCTTAAAAATTGTGCGCACCCGCGAAATCGCAAAAAACTACCATACCCAAAATTGACCATAGGCGACGCTTTAAAAGCTTTTACCACTCATCAGTTTAGTGTTATCAGTGATTGACAGTCTTAAAATGATTGCTCTCACTGCAATGTTCGCGGCGATATGTAACATGGGCGGCATAATGGACGCAATTGTCGTTTTCGCAGGTATGCATGTTTGCATGCGTGTATGTATGGGTGGGGGCTTTAAAAAATGTTTTTGGTTTTTTTTAATTCTTTTTTTATATGTGACTTTAATTTTTTTTTGGAAACTTTAATTTTTTTTCCTATTTTTTTTTTCCACTTAACTTTATTGCTATCACATAGGGGGGTTTCTTAGCCCCCTATGTGATAGCAAAAGATGTAACAGGTCCTCTTTATGGAGACATAAGGGGTCTCCAAGACCCCTAATGTCACCTAGGAACCCCAGAAGAAGCTGATGATCTGCTTTATCAGCTTCTCTCCAGCGTCTGAAGCTGGAGAGTAACACAAGAATGCGGAAGTGATGTAATATACATCACTTCTGCATTCTGGCAGCGGAGAGGGGACTGGAGGGAGATCGTGTACCGATGACAGAGGCACTATGCTGGTCCCAGGCTCGCAGCAGGCACAGCAGAGCCCAGGACCAGCGTGACAGCGGGAGGGAGGGGGGGAGCCGCGGAGGGGGCGCACGTACCGGGACCTCATACAAGCGATCCGCCGGCTTTACAGCCGGCGGATCGCTTGTATGTCAGCGGCACGCACAAGGGGGCTTGGCTGAGCGGACGTCTATAGACGCCGGCTCAGATCTAGAGAGCTCCTGGCTGGCCGTTTTTTTACAACGGCCGGCCAGGAATTGGTTAAAGTGTGCAGTTCCCCCTCCCAAAGAATACCAGGCCCTTTAGGTCTAGTTGGAATGCTAAAAAAAAAGCCCGGGACCGGTGTGACAACGGGAGGGGGGACACGGGCTGGCAGCTCATACAAGCGATCTGCCGGCTCTATAGCCGGCGGATCGCTTGTATGCTAACAAGCATCGGTGCCTGGGCGTGGCTGAGCGGACGTCTAAAGAAGCCCGGCCGGGAGGTAGTTAAGGTACTTGAATTCATTTTTTATTAAATTCCTGAGTTTACTGTCACTTTACATTTTACATTCAGCTTGGCTTGAATACAGCAGCAGCACTCATATCCCTGTATACCCAAATTATTCCTCAAAAATTTTAAATATAGACGTTAGGCAAGTGTTTGCTAGAAATTGGATAGCTAGAAATTGGATAGCATCAGGACAGTATGTAAGTACTTAGGCCCCGTTCACACCTAGGCGTTTTGTTGCATGTATTTGTCCGCACTGAAACGATCAAGACTAGAAATCCCATTTATTTCTATAGCCCCTTTTCACACCTGAGCATAGCGTCGTGCGTAGAAAACACCTGTCACTGGAAAAAGTACATGAGCTTCTTTTTTGCAGATCAGTGCGATTTGTCCCCATTAACTCAATAGGCAAAGCTTGGAAACACGCGACACAATTGTTTTGCGCTTTTACATGCGCTTCCCATTTACATCAATATGTCACTACCTCACAAAAACGCGCGACTTAACCACTTGCTGCCCAGAGCAATTTCTTACATTTGCACACACATGATAAAATCTGAATT